AAACGTCCGGCTCCCATTTAAACGTTAGAGTATTATAATATATTTAAAGAAACACATTTATTTTCTTCTTTTTAAAACATTATTACATAAAACTTGTTATTAAGTTATTTTATACGTATGTTTAAAAGTACTTTATAATTTTTAATACAGTAGAACCTGATAACACGGATATAATACTACGGAATAATACTACAGCCTACTAATTTCAGAAAATTGTAATTAATTCATAAAAAAAGCAAGTAGCCATCAAATTAAATCAAATTTAATGTCATATTGCATTGTCATTGTGTCTTCACCCACGTACTGAATTTCAGAGAAAATGATTAGTTAATAGTGCCTGAAATTTTGCTCGCCCTTTTTATTCAGGGACTAACACAGCCAGAATGACGACATACAGACGGAGGAAGCAACTTAACAAAAATTTGTAAAAATGAGTGTACGCGCTGTTTACAGTTTGAAGTCAAGATTATATTATCTTGACTATACCAAATGTCCACTTTGTTGTTGTAACGTTGCAGGATTACATTAGCTGGTGAAATAGCTAGAAGTTTATTTTTTCTCAGCTGAAAAAAACAACCTCTCCGTCAATAATCGTTGAGTAAAGCCTGAGTTGTTTTAACTTAGTTGAATGTTTAAGACAGCAAATATTAGGTTTTTACATTTTACGTTGTTTTAAAGATTTTTCCAATATAAATAACTCATGCATTTTATGGAAGAAACACATTTTTGTTATGTAATTTCACTAGCAATAAAGAAAACCTCGTAATTACCATCACATATTTGAGGAAATGATATTATTATAGCTATTTGTAGTATAATCTGTGTATTAGAATTATCAAAAGTGCTGTTAGCCGACCATTTTATTTTTTTTACTATATTTCTTTATTAATATTAGTTATTTTTATTATTGCATATTATTGTTTAAATAATACAAACAAATACTATTAAAAACAACTCTCGTGCTTACATGTTCCATGTACTTCAAAAACAAAGAAAACGTGTTGTTTCTGTGCATGTAGCCAACAAACTGAATAATGCGCTCGTGGTTTTCTGAGGTCCTTAAGATCTTGGTCTCTGTGGCTACACTGCTCTATGAGAGAATAGCGTCATACATTTTAGTGGACATTTGATGTGTATAGCAACAAAAGCTGTAACAGCTGTAGTAAGTTGAAATCTTTAAGGAGCAAAGGTGGTGTTTGTGATGAAACGATTCGTAGTTGTAGCTGTAGTGCTTGTAGTAGTAGATGTAGTCGTAGTAGAAATAGATGTTATATGTAGGTGTAGTCGCTGTTGTAGTTGTTGATGTTGTAGGTGTGAAAGCAGGTGTATGTGTAAGTGTAAGTGCATTATCGTTGTAGTTATAGTAGTAGTAGTAGTAGTAGACGTAGTAATAGAAGTAGTAGTAGAAGTAGTAGAGGTAGTAGTAGTTTTAGTAGTAGTAGTGGTAGTAGTAGTAGTAGTAGCAGTAATCGTATATTAGTAGCTGTATTACAGTAGCAGTAATACAAGTGGTAGAAAAAAGTGATATCAGTAGTAGTGAAGTCTCATTCGACACAGTAGCAACTTATTGGGCAAGGAACAATCTGAGGGGTAAATGCAAGTGGATAACATTGTTTGTTTTAGATATATCTCTTTGGGAGGGAGGGATGGGGCCCAGACGAGATACACCCCTCCTCTATATATTTTATATGGAAGAATCTGAATTTTAACACAAACACTCATCCACCCACGTTTTAAATGCCCCATCAGGAAATTTCAAGTCTGAGCAAACATCTGTTGATAGTTCTCCCACTGTATGTAGAATAAAAGTAAGTCGATATACAGATTTCTGTTTAACTGAGGTAAAATAACAAAGCACAGAAATTCTTACATATACATATCAAACGGTGATAAAATTACACTACCCTTATCCTATCGATTTGTTCTCTGATAATGGTGACGTCTTTCACAACGAAGCGTTTAAGTTCCGGGTTGTCTAAGTCACGTACTAAGTAAACATGACTGAATGCTCCTCTGCCAATTTCTTCACATCTCTCCCACAACAATGGCAGCTCAGGAGACGTGTTTTCTTCTGAAATAAGCCAAACTTTAAACAGTTAACATTCTTAAACTATATTTTTTTACAAGATCTTCTTCTTCTTCGTTGACTCAGATTTCAACCTACTTTTCGTATTGTATTTTCTTCCTCAGCCTTTGCCCAACCAAGAATTAACTACAAGGCATCAGTTGTTTAATTTTAAATTTGTCTTTTCCAGAGGAGTTGCTGTCCCCAGCTTTATGAACTTGGGAATTTTCGGTTTAGCAACCATTAGATTTACCAACTTGATCACGCTGACCCCATACACGTTCAACGTAATGGAAATCAATAATTATATATTTTACTTACCCGTATTTAACATCTTGAAAATGTTCTAAGCCTTTACGCCAATGTAGATAAATGACGGCTTATATATACTGTAATGTAGAAGTAAAATTAAAAAATGAATTACAAAACCAATTTCATTTTAACATCGTACTTCAGAGCATATGTGAAACAATGAATAGGTCTTACAGTTTATAAGTTTGAATCGAAAGACATATGACTCTCTATTCTATTTGTGTAAAACCATTTAAATGAAACAAACGCTAGTACTTTGTGTACAATATTGATTTATCTTATCTCTTGAAAATAGTTTTGTTGTTACCGATTTTACAAGATAAGCTTCATCTAAAAGCATATTACACGACGTGTTTTACAAATACCTTAAATATAGGGTATATGCATATATTCATAAACACACACACACGCACTCACGCACACACACACACACGCACGCACACGCACACACACTCAAACACACACACACGCGCACATTTACTCACTCAGACATACACACACACATCACACACACACATCACACACACACATCACACACACAAATAACACACAGTGGACATTTAAATGTTAATATGAAAAAGTGTGAATTGCAAGAAAGAAACGATCGCGACATTATTAACAATCAACAAGGCTACACAAAAGACTTGTTTAAATATCTCGATCGTTGTTAGTTTACTTGCAATTTTAAAGTTCAGTAAAACTTAAAGTTTTTAAGAAAAATTCGGCGTGTAGCTGTTAGTACCATCTGGTATAAATGAGGAACGTATACTAGAATTGATGCTGTGTTGCTGTGTTTAGTCTTATTAACATAAAAATTAAAAACTGTAATACAAATATGTTATAACTTATAACAGTTTAAAACTTTAGTGAAATATTAACGGATTTTCCCGGTAACAGGGAAGGATTTAAATTAGATAGGGAATTAATTTCCGTTTTGTATATTAGATCTAGATCTATATTTTAAATTAAGTAATTACTAAAATAGTAACTATTCTTAAAATTATATTAAATCGAAACATGATTTGTTGTATTACCAAGCGTAGTAGATCTAGATTAGAACAGTCGATATGTGTTAATAATTGTAAATGTTTGAACACGTAATTCTAATGGATTTTATATGCCAGATAAAACTGCTTTCACAAAGCTAAAATGCGATGATAAAGTAGGCGATGTACGATTAAAAAAAATACGACAGACTCTTATCGACATATGACTAAGCCGAGAAGTATTCAAGTTATATGCCAGTTTAATATAAAACTAAACCTAACTAATATCTTAACCACTAATCATAATCTTGTAATGACAGACCTGACAACCTGTGATGGTAGACCAGACAACATATTTAAATAACTCAGTTTAAGAAAACAAAGTTATGCTTAGAAAATAAGATTGGTAACGCATTGATGAAACCCTCTAAAAAATTCGTCAGACTTTATTCTATCCCCGCTGCAATGCACGGGGAAAGGCACTCTAGTATATAAATTCATATATACTTATATATATATATATATATATATATATATATATATATATATATATATATATATATATATATATATATATATATGTATGTATGTATGTATATATGTATATATATATATCTATATATATATATATATATATATATATATATATATATATATATATATGAATGATAGGCCTATATATTATTATTTGATTTGCGCGCAACACTATTTAAATTTAGCGAGATTCTTTTTAAAAGTTTAAAATGACCTACTGAGCCATAATCTTTTTTAGTATAGTTAAAAGGATATTTATCTGGCATAGTAAGTCCCTTGGGGAGAACGTTGTGTAAGATGTGTAATTTTTATATATCGCTAAAACTACTTCTAGTATCTAGATTTAGATATATTATCTACTAAGACTTGTTAATTGAAAATACATATTATGTTGGAAAATAAGTTTAATAAAAAAAATAAGCTCTTCAAAAAGAAAACAGAAGTAGTATATTATTTTTTAAAGGAAAATATTCGTTCAAGTATTACACGTTTTTATTTAATAATTGGGAAAATCCGATATTATTTAATTTAAACTTTTACTTTTGCATTTTGTTTATCATGTTACAATTTAAATTTTTACATCCAATTTAAAGAGATTCTGGTGTACTTACACCCTATTACTTGATGATAGCCAGTTACACATTTCATATTAAGGGGTCATACATAAATGACGTCACGCTTTTTTTGACGATTTTTACCTCCCCCCCTCCCCTCCGTCACACGTCGTCACAAAAAGCCAGACCCCCCCCCCCCCTAAAATGACGTCACACCTCAACCTACAACCCCCCTCAAAATTGCAGTTGAATTTTTTTTAAACTTTGATATTTTTCCAACATATTGTCTAAACTATTACAATTTATTAAAACAGTTATCTAAAACGCGAAATAACGTCTAAAATTCGTTTTCTAACATTGCTTTTTTATAATGCAAAAATGTGACGTCGCAATATCTGACCCCCCCCCCCCTCCCCCTCATCACACATCGTCACAAAATTACGGACCCCCCCTCCCCCTACGAGTGTGACGTCATTTATGGATGACCCCTAAGTTGGAAAAATCTCTTGCAACTTTATTTACCTGAGTAATTGAATATACACAGCAGTAATGGCAGAGGTGGAGACCGATAGTAAGTTGTTTTAATGAATCATCCAGAATTATAATTTTAAGGGGCTTTTCAAATATTTTTGGCGTTATTTAAAAGATTATCTAAAGTAGCCTATAAGAATACTGATTTCTTTTATTCTTGTAAATAACGTATAAAAGGACATGGGTGCATGAGACAGTTTTCATTAAATTTATAATTTATAGTAACATCGACGTCACCGGAATTTCCCCATATTTGGAGCAAGGGAAATTTTGTCGGTGGAAGTGTAAATGTGTTCGAGATTATCGACCCTAGCGAGCCAAGGGAGGTCAAGTTTGTTGGCAAAGATATTTCTGTCGCATCGACTCAAACCGAAAAGAAAAAAGTTAGTTGAGTTTTTAGAACTAATACAATTTTAAACAATATAAAGTTATAGGCATATTATTATTTATATTGAGTTATTAATAAAAACAATGATATATGTTATCATTATTTTCTTCTTATAGAATTTGGCTGAGCTTAGAATTCTGGAGCAGATAAAACACCCGCGAATAGTAGCCTTCTATGGTTTCAAACAAAACCCGAACCTTTTAACCATATTTTACAAATACATGAAACTTGTAAGTGGAAGCTGCTGGTAAAAATCTAATTAAATTCATAACCCATCAGCTTATATTTTCTACCTCATTTCAAAATAAACTGTCATTTTTTATTATTAGTTTGTTTAAATCCATTATTTCGGCAGATTGAAACAAATTCAAATTAATACAGCAACATGTCTCAAAGCGTACTTAAATGCCACTCAGGTCGTTACACTTGTATTCTATATGTACATAATTGGTCAATCAGAAATTTCACTTTCAAACAATTTGTTTTTTAAATTTTCATTAGAGTAATAAAACCATAATTTACCTCCAATTAAGTAATTGGTTTTGGTGTTTTTTTAAATACCAAAACAAAAGAAACACCAATCCGTTAAAAAAAATGTCTCAGGGTTCTGTGGCAAAGCTGATAAAAGAAAGAGGGTCGCCTCTAGATGAGGCCACAGTGCGACTCTACACTAGACAAATTCTTGAAGGCTTGAAATATTTACACAATAATAAACCGATCATCATTCACAGAGACGTCAAAGGTAGGACGATATTTCTCAGGTTTTATTTTGGTTGTTTTTATGTAAATACAAATTGCAACAAACCATATAATTTTAGTAGTATTTTAATGTCTTTATTTATTTATTTTGTATTGTTAATATGACCGACAGTTTAGAGACAGATGGTGGTGCGCAATATGTTCAGCATACATAGTTATTCCGTACATCTCAACGTACAAGTAGATAATCTGATGGTTCGGGTTTTATAGGACTAAACTTTAGGACCGGAATTCAAAATCTGACAAAATAAAATTTAGAAGGCATATTAGTTTTAGGTTGTAAAGACAACAGACTAAAATGACACTCTGGTACCCAGATTTGTTCCACCATACCAATACATGTCCTTGTAAAACAAACCTTCCTACACTACACAGGTGAGAACGTGCTGCTGGAGTCACCAGACAAGGTCCAGCTGACCAACTTCGGACTGTCCAAGATCCTCCACACACTGACCAATGCCAGGTCAAAGGTCGGCACGTCCTACTGGATGGCGCCTGAGATCATCACGGGAACAGGAAGTGAAAACTATGACGTCAGGGCGGATATATGGTATATACATTTTTTTACGGACATTACTCGATAGTTACCATATCAGTTCACCCAGCTCTTAGGGGTACAGAATATAAGTCGTGTTAAGTAAAGGGGATGTACACAAGGCTGACAACATAATCAACGTAAATGTTGAAGGGAAAGAAACACGAACTCGACTTTGTTATTTACTTTGACAGGCAGGTGTAAAATGTTGATTACAGATTTGATATATTGTTGTTTTGTTTGTTTTTTTACGGCGCATCCGCATCACACACTTAAATAGCATGCTTTTATTTTTCGTGTATACTTTCGGGTAGGTCCCCTAGCTTTTGGTTTTAGCCAGTCCTGTGTATTTTATTTTCCCGGTACTCGCCCTATCTGTAGCACCTTGTCATATACATGGATAATCACTTGACGTTATTGACAGTGCCGGCGCCAGGTTATTTAGCGCCCTAGGCAAAACTTATCAAAATGCCCACTTTCACACAAATTAAATACTAAAACATATGTATAAGAAAACAATTAATTAAAAGTGACATATTAATTTAGTATCAATTGCATACACGTTATAAGTAGACATCAAAATCAAATTTTAATTCCCCCCTTCGACTCAGAAGTTTGTACTAATTTCTTCAATTCCAGTTTGCAATCGTAATCACATTCTATTGAAATTGTTTTTAAGTCCACGGGTCTACTTTGTACTTTATGACATAGCCCCCCCCCCCCCTCCCCCCACTTAGAAAACTTTAAGTGCTTCAGCCCACCCCCTCCGTGGACAAAAAAGTCTGGAAAAAACACACAAAAAAAGTTCTTGTAGTATTGGACTCTCTGCAGTCCTCCCAAGGTGTGTTCCTAAACGGAACCTACCTGTTTTAAGCTTGACTGTCTTTTGTTATAATTATAAATAGTCTATATTTTGTTATTATGAAACGATTTTTTGTTTTTTGAAAATAAAAGGTTATAAATGTTATATTCCAGACTAAAATTATATATGAATCATTAGGAGAGGGTGAAAAATATGAAAAGACAATTAATTAGATATATAATTCACAACAAAGACTGTATGTCGACTAACATTAAATATTGCAGTCTACAACGGCTACTGATGTATTTGTTTTTCTGCTTGATAATGCTAAAAAACCTACGAAACTATTTTGTTTAGAACTTATGCTCTATTTATTTTTTACAATAGAAAATAATAACTTAAAGTTGTATTTATATAATTAAGCCTAAAGCAACGAATTATCTCAAATTTGAAGATCCAAATACCAAAATTTTATTCAAGGGAAATAACTTTCACAAGAATAACTAAATTAACCAAGTGTAACTAAGATATGCTTAAAAAACACAATAAAACTCTCTTAATTTCATTAGTTAATAATTGTAACAAATATTTGATATTTACTATGTAACCTTGCAAAAACAATACAGTCTACCCATTGAATACTTAACTGTAGGTTGTGTTTTAAAGTTGAAAAACATTAGCTTTATTATAACATATTTCTATTCAATATTGATGTCATACGGTCTATTATCTATCTATATACTACTAAAAGTCAAGTTTGTTTACATGTTTGAATATTTATTTTTTTGTTTTTTTGTTTTTTTGTTTTTTTGTTTGTTTGTTTGTTTGTTTGCCTGATCGACTATCTCGCATGGTTGCACTCAAGGTGGAAAGCTGTAAAATAGTATGTAGGTAGAGAAAATTTTTTGTTTTAAGACAGACTGTTAATCACAAATTTATTTAAAGACGTTAATTAATTTATTGATTTATTCATTGTTAAATTAACCGTATTTTTTTAAAAATGTTAATACTTTGAATAAACTTTGTGGGGATAGTGACGTCCCTTGATGTGTTTACTTTTTTGGTACAATAAAAATGGCGGACTCCATCATAGACTTTGTGGCCCATTCAAAAGTTTAACGCGTTACAAAGCTAATTTTCTGCCGGCTATAACTTAAACAATACGTCCGTTTGCTGTATTTATTACGTTCCAACACTTATATCAATTTTCAACTGTCTTTTTCATTTAGTTTTACGATAAATTTCTCTAGATCTAAAGATCAGCTGTCGAAGGAAAGTTATGAATCTAGCCTAGATCTAGCCTAGATCTAGGTCACTACTAGACTCAATGTAAATTCTAGATCTAGACTTAATGTAAATTCTACATCTAGAATATATTTCAGGCCTTAATACATCTAGAATCTATTTCAGGCCTTAATTATTTTATATAAATCTTTGTTTGGCTAATTTAAGATTAAATTTAATTTGAAAGTTACTACTACTACTAGACTTAGATCTAGATCTATGCGCGCAGACTCAAAAGTATAGTATAAAAATTCATTTGTTACGTCACGAGTAAATAGCTAAGTTGGTAGCGTAGCCCGCTCTCATGTGGGTGGCACAGGTTCTAGACCAATATGTCAATGATATTTTTTTTCAATTTTTTTTTTTTTAGATGTGAATGATAAAGTTGCCTATCTGAACTTGGCAGGATACAGGGCAGGTGAAGTAGAGTTCATCTGTTTCTTTGTCCTAAGCATATGAAAGGATAGTGTGGTCAAAGACATGCTCGGCTGGAATCGTTTTTTAAACGATAAAAACATGTTGTCTGAGACTTGGCGGGACACTGGGCAGGTGAAGTAGAGTTGAGTAGGTCCCATGTGACGTCAGTATATGAAGGGATAGTCCGAAATCGGTGTTTTCGGTGTTTTTAAAAGATAAGAAACATATTTTTGAATGTGGGGTCTGTTTTTTGTGACGATAAGTGACACTGCAGTAGCGTAGCGAATGGGGGGGGGGGGGGGGCGGGAGGGGAGGCGGGGGGGGGGGCGGGAGGGGAGGCGGGGGGGGGGGGGGGAAGGGGAGGCGGGGGGGACATATGTTGGGGCGCCAAAATGGTTTGGAAAAATAAATTGAAAGGTTGAGGGGGGTTCAAATCGAAAGTTTGAGTGGGGGGGGGGGGGTGCACATCAAAAGTTTGAGGGGGGGGGGGGTTGAAAATCGAAATCTTGGGGGGGGGGGGTTAAAATCGAAAAGTTTGTCCCCGGGCGCCGGGAAGGGTCGCTATGCCTCTGAGTGACAGACGTGATGTTTTTTTATGGATGACCCCGAAACCCACAGTTATCCAACGGATGACGGGTATTCTAGTATTTCTTATTTTCTAGTTAGGAACATTTTTGGATCTCCTAAATAAAGGACGCCTTTATAAAAATCAAATACGGTTAGCTGTTGTAGACATTGCTGGAATTATTGATTAAATATTTTAAAAATTGCATTCTCATTTCTCTATTACCAATCAGATTCCACTATACCTTCAACTACAAAACAGCCGAATAAAAATTATAACACTTATACATCAGGACAAATTTCTAATTCAACGTCAGAGAAAACGAGACTTACAAGTCCTATTAAAATTAGATAACCGTTTGAAATGTGCAAAATTTAAATTACAAATTTATTTAACTGTTTTCTACATCAAGTATGTGACACCAAAATAAAAAGGTAAAGTGACTGGTAAAAAGCGCCCCGACCTTTCAAATTAGGGAGGTAGGGTTGCATTTTCACCATAGCGAATAAATATAGGCCTATATAGACCTAATTTTGGGGTGGGGTGGAGGGGGGGGGGGGGCAAAGTTGATAGTTAGTTCTTCCTGTCCGTCGAAAAAGATCGCTACTCCTTGATAAAAGTTATTAATTATTAGGTACTTTTCGATAATAGAAATTTAACCTTTTTGCGCCCCCCCCCCTAAGAATGGCGGCCGATACGACCGCCTAGTTCGCCTTATAGGTAGCACCGGCCCTGGTTATTGATATTTTTGGCTTTATGGTAAACAACAATCTATTGTAGGGCGGGATGTGTGTCCGGGGTTTTAGTGTTAAGTTACATACATTGTTACAATGTCCTGTAATGTATTATGTAATATTAATCTCCAGGAGTTTAGGTTGTACTGTGGTAGAGATGGCCACGGGGAATCCCCCATTCGGTCACCTTGACGAGGTTGAAGCGGCTAACAAAATCGGCAGCGGTGAAAAAATGGACTACAAGCTGCCAGACACAAGTTCTAAGGAAATGGTCAAATTCTTAGGCAAGACGTTCCACAAGAATTTCAAGGATCGTCCAAGCGCTGAGGAACTGCTCAAGTCGGATCTATTTATAGCAGGAAAAGTGTAATAAAATATAATGCTCATCTATCATTAGCTATTGTAATTAACACATTGAAATATTTAATAAAAATCATATGATAATGTGTTCTTTTTTTTCTTAATTCTAGATGGCACTATAAATTTTAAGGAATTAAAATATTGTTGACGTCACACAACTGACCTGTTGACCATATATGTGAAATAGTGTGTACCTTACAGCCACACCTACCCGTAACACCACGATCCAGGTGTTGGGCTACTGCCATACCACATGACAACCTCATTCAATAAATAAAATACGTCTTTGGTACGGACCCCCCGAAGAAAGTCTACCGCCCCCCGATCGAAATGAAAATTATATAGTAAATATATAACTTTAACAGTGTCCGCCCCCCCCCCCCAAAGAAAGTCTACCGCCCCCCCCCCCCCGAAAATTTTACTTTAACTACCTACAGTACTAAGCCTAACATGAGTATTTTAATATTTAAACGTAGAATCAACAAAATGTTTGTCAAAATCAACAAAATGGTTGTCAAAATAAAAAAATGTTTTACTAATCTTCATCAAAGCATGTATGCCCCTAAGGATCATTGATTATATGGAGGTCTATATGTTACTTTTTGAAATTTTAGAACTCCACAAAAGGTAGTTTTTCCAAGATGACCGCCGTTTTCAATGGAATCATATTTCCAGAAAAGGCCCTGTTACATGCAAATATTTTCCCTTAAGTACCCTAACTTATACATACACAAATAAATAAAAAAGGCTTATTAATTAAAAGGTTCCCCGCCCCCGTTTTTTCCCTGAGTCTACCCCCTTCGAGCACCTGATACTGTCACGTTATGTCTTGTAACGGATTTATTACGTCCCTTGTATTGTGTATATTATGGTTACGTCCCTTGAGTGTTTGTTATGTAGGTGATGTGTACCAGTGAGGGCTGTGAGTTAACTGAAGACAGACCCACAGATAAGTCATGTCGTCTATGCTATTGAAAAAAAGAACTTTGTATAGCAAAAAAATTGCATTATTTTAAAGACATGAATATATTTTACTATATTTTCATAAAAAAATATTGTTTATCTTCATTAGATATTAAATAAAACGATATAAAAAATTCTATGCTCTCGAGTATAATAAAGTATCAAGGTTAACTGAAGAAACTGTGTTGCAGTGAGGGCGCTAGGTCGGATGTCACCGGTGCGGCACTTTGTGGAGTCACATCCCCCCCCCCCCCCGCCCATGTAATAATTATCGTTTTGTACGTTAAAGACTACTTATCTCTGATTAATCATTAATGGAACTAGCAAAAAAAGCGTTTTCTTCTGTACATTGTGCAATTTTTTGCCTTGCTGTCACCCCCCTAAAGGATGTCACCCGGTGCGATCCGCACCCCCCCTCCTCCCCACCCTCGCTACGCCTCTGGTCTGTTGTAGTTATGTAACATGTTGGCAGCGATTTGAAGACATTGTGAAATGATGTGTGACAGCAGAGAAGGCCAACGAAGTACGGAAGCTGTAGGTAGGCTAAAGGCTGTAAAGAAAAGAAACAAATCTGATCAAGATGGCTGTCAGAACGATTTCAAAACAGACTACAGTTTCACCCGACCCCGGCACTAGATGTAACCAGAGGGGGTGACGGGTGGAGATTATTTAAACAGATAGGGCAAAACTACTACATCTTGGTAGGATTAAATGAAGAGAAGGAAATGAGATATGTCAAGGCTTTGTTTCCAAATACAATGAGCACAGATGTGTATAATAGTATGACAGTTAGCGATGTAGTGAAACGTTTTGATGAACATTTTGCGATTAAAACTCATAAAACTTTTGAAAGGTTCAAATTCAACAGAAGAAATCACGAGGTGAATGATACGGTAGAGGAGAATGTGAGGACGTTGAAAAAAAATGGCCAAGACATGTAATTTCTGTGAACATAATATATAAGAACCACTCTTGCGATACAGAGTTGTGTTGGGGATCAAGGACAATGACACTAGAGACATGTTGCTAGGACAAGCACAATGAACGTTGAAATCGTGCATAAAATTATGTAAGGTAGCTGAGGAAGCAGACAAACATGAAAATTTTGAATGAGGCGGAAAATAGAAAATTGAAGGTAGAAAAAGCTTTTGCTGGGTCATATCAAGGAAAAAATAAGGATTCGAGTCCAAAGTGTAGACATTGTGGAAAAAAAAACTAATTTAATAAAGACATGTGCCCGGCATGGGGGAAAGGTAGAAGAATTGTGGCAAACTGAATAGTTTCGCTGTGAAGTGCGGAACGACGCAAGCAAAGCTTGTCAGTGATAACGATACATATTGTTGGTCTTTGCCATCGGAAGAAGAGTGTTTGTCGGCTGTCAGTGATTAGAGACAAAAGAAGATTGAAACAGCGGTGATCAGTGGGCGAAATAATGTTGTGTGTTAAGTCGATTCGGGTGCGAAAGTGAATGTCATCTCAGTGAGGTATATAGAGAACACGCAGATTTTCCAACAAGGACTAGACTTGAAGTGTATGATGGAACTACGCTTAGCCCAAGAGGAAAGACAAGAGTGGTTGTCAAGAATCCTGGTCCTGGGAAAAGATACTTGGTTGAATTTGTCGATGTTGATATTGTCCTTGCTGGGGGAAAAGTCATCAGAGAAAATGGGACTAATCAGAGTAAATGGGACTAATCAGAGTAAATGGGACTAATCACAGTAAATGTTGACAGATAGGACAAATAATTTTTTTTTCGCCTCAGACATGTGATTTACAGCGTCAGTTGTGTGTTCGCTTTAGTATTACAGTTTTCATCATCGGCTTGTGAGGACTGATAAAGATTTACAATAGTAATAGTTCTTTCTTACTTGTAGCCTACATTTAAGATGATTTACTTTTACATAGATCTAATACAAAACGTCTAATTATAAAAAAAAAAGATTAAAAAAAAAACACCTGAAAATGCAAATGTGTAATTAAATGATAATTAAAGGGATTTTTTCCAAGGCGTGGTGGGCTGAGGGGAGGGGTAGGGATTTGGGTTTTTAAGTAGAGCTGAAATAAATTTGGAATTGCAGAGAATTAAAATGATACTAATTTTAATCAACCGGAGAAGTTATGTTATTACAATGAGACACATCAAATGAAACATTCTTCCCTTTCAAACATCTATATCTATAGCAGTCCTCAAACAGTTTTTTTATACATATATACATATATTTTTTTAATTAATTCAATTGTTTTAAACATTTAAAATAGAAATAATAATTTATTTGATGGTTTTACACAGCATCAACCACATGAACATTAATTGCATATTTAGTAATCAAATGGAGAAATTAAAATGGCATAAGAACTAGACTAAAATAGGTGTGCAAACTCGGTTTCTCTTGATTGCTTAGTTTACTGTGCTCCATCCTTAGCTGCAAAGTCAAAAGTTCACATTGTAGCTAGCCATGGACAGAAATAGAAACGACCGTGGGAGAAGTGTCTCTGTAATACTCATATTGATCTTTCATTTCAAAACTTTCCAGGACACAAAATTGACCGCTGGCAAAGAGGGCACGCAGTCCGGTTGAGTGAGGGGAAGTGAGGAGGGGGGGAGGTGTGTATCTCTTTCTACCATTCAGTACATTACAAAAATGATAAAACTAATTTTCGTGTTACAAAACAATTATACCTGTTTGTACAACATTTGTAAGATTGATACTTTTTTTTTCTGCAGGAATATTGTTGAGTTTAAAAAAACATTTTTTACGTCTGTTGTTGAGATGGCATCATTAATCAGCTACCAACACTGTGCTTACTTAAGGAACATGAAAGAGAAAGAACGGGCCTTATTGAACGCTGTTACATTTTGTATGATCTTTTAGATAAAAGAGATTTGTAGCTTTACTTTAGAATTCTACAATAATATATTTAATATTTAACTTCAATCATGTAAGATTTTTGAATAAGGTAATAACATTATAATCAAATAGTACATTTTATTTTTAGAAATATAATAATATATCTATATAATAATAATTATTTATTATATAAAGGATTATGTTTTATTTAATTAACATTATGGACACCAGTAATTAGTTTGTGTAAGAAATATTTGAATTGCACAGATTATTTTATAAACAGTGTTTCTTCCAGACTCTTTTCTCCGGGGGGAGGGGCACTTGAAATTTTCTGGTGGTGTGGGGGGGGGGGGGTCGGTAGACTTTCTTTGCGGGGGGGGGGGGACACTCTTTTCTATATACATTTCATTTCGTTCGGGGGGGGGGGGGGGCGGTAGACTTTCTTCGTACGTTTATAAGATTGCTATTGTGTCATAGTTCGTCAATCTAGATCTTGTATAGCCTACATCTCGCATGTTACTGTGTTAGACAACTTCCTCGTTGCTGTGTTAGACAACTTCCTCGTTACTGTGTTAGACCACTTCCTCGTTACTGTGTTAGACCACTTCCTCGTTACAGTGTTAGACCACTTCCTCGTTACTGTGTTAGACCACTTCATCGTTGGATCTTCTGTGTGCCGCCTATACTTCTGTCACCCACCACTATGCCCCAAAACGTCGTTTATATGTGTAAGGTTGTGTGTTTGTCCTGCCTAGCGAGATGTTATCTTTTAAAAGAGATCGGAGGTTGTCGTACACTGCACCAAACCCAGTCCCATCTCTTTAATCTACACTTGAGAAATATTTGACCTTCTCTCTTTTACGTATATCTAACCTGTGGATGTAAAATACAGTTCATTTAGTGGTGATGATGAAGCAATTATTATGGTTATAAATACGAGATGGATATGGAGATGGATATAATTAATTACATTTATTCTTGTGGGTAGGGGGGGAATATCTGTAGGGGTTAATTGAAAGTGGATAATTCATCTGGGGTGTAATGACGGGTGCGATAATCCTAAACTCACATCCCTTTATAACATCATGACTCTGTCGCAGATGCTCAGATTCTCAGTCTTCCTGCCCGTGGCGACACGAATACCCAAAGTTTGATTACATTGCAATCTGTAATGTGCTCTCTGTGCAAAACTGTATGG